AAAAAAAAAAAAAATTTAAATTAAAAAAAAAAAAATCTGTGATATGGTAACATACCATGCTTCTTTATTGATACTTTAAATAAGATGCAGCAGCAAGTCTAACAATTACTGTAATTTTGAAGTATTTATGAAAATGAACGGTATCTTGAGCAACAGCTATCATGAGACGCAACAATATCTGTGTTTCCGTTCCTGATGAAGCCATGGGTACTGCTTACGCCACTGTGGTTTGTTGCCTACATTTATACTCAAAGGAAATTCTAAATTTTAGTGAGGGGTTAGTGAAAATAAATTATAATTTTTTTCCTACCCAAGTCACAGACCACTTTGAATTCTATCCATGGACCCCTTAGGAATCTGTGCATCCTGGGCTACGAACCCCCCTATAAGATGTTCCTGAGCTTTTCTCACGAGTAATTCTTGGTCCCTCTAAAATGGGAACATGGGGGTGCCTGGGTGGTTCAGTGGGTTAAGCGTCCAACTCTTGGCTTCGGCTCAGGTCATGATCTCACAGTTCGTGAGTTCAAGCCCCTCACCAGGCTTTGCGCTGTGACAGCACAGAGTCTGCTTGGGATTCTCTTTCTCTCTTTCTCTCTCTCTCTGCCCCTCTTGCTCTCTCTCTCTCTCTCTCTCTCTCTCTCTCTCTCAAAATAAATAACCTTAAAAAAAAATAAAATGGGAACATGGAGGGAGTATGGTAACAATCAGAGACTGTTTTACTTCTAGGATTTATTTGTCCCATGACCACACTTACAACAGCATATTAAGCTAGCAGACACAAGGCCCAGAAGACATTTTAATGGAGTATTGGGTTTCTTTGGGTGCAGTGTGATGAGAATGCATGTCTTTTTCTCAGATGAGGATAATGAGCATAGGAACAGGTCCAGGAGACCCAGAGGGAAAATCGTTAGGATTTTCTTTAGTTCTCAGGTGAGTTCATTCTTACATGGAGGCAGTTTCTCCCCCGACCTGAAAAAAATTGGTGAAAAAATAAAAAAGCAAAAAGACAAATACTGAATGGTTCCATTCATATGAGGCATCTAAGGCAGTGAAATTCATAGAAACAAAGTTGAATGGTGGTTCCTAGGGATTGGGACACAGGGGGAGGGGAGTTAATTTAAAGGGTACAGAGTTCCAGTTTTGCAAGACGAAAAGTTTGAGAGATTTGTTGCACAACAGTGTAAAAATATAAGCAACTCTACTGAACTGCACACTTATGATGCATTTATATTATTTTCTTTTAATCACAATAAAAATTGGTGAAAACTGCAAAACAATAAAACAGATAAACAGAACACTCAGATCCTATCTCTAGCACAACTGCCAATTATCCCCAGGCAGGACAGCCTGAAACACGACCTGCTCTACCCAGTACACCGTTTCTTTAGGTATTAAACCCATACAAAAAAATTTTTAAAGTGAAGACCCAAGTATTCATTTAAGATTCCTCTTTAAAAATTTTATATATTTATTTAATTAATTAATTAATTAATTTATTTATTTATTTAAAAGAGAGACAGAGGGGCGCCTGGGTGGCGCAGTCGGTTGAGCGTCCGACTTCAGCCAGGTCACGATCTCGCGGTCCGTGAGTTCGGGCCCCGCGTCGGGCTCTGGGCTGATAGCTCAGAGCCTGGAGCCTGTTTCCGATTCTGTGTCTCCCTCTCTCTCTGCCCCTCCCCCGTTTGTGCTCTGTCTCTCTCTGTCCCAAAAATAAAAATAAAAACGTTGAAAAAAAAAATTAAAAAATAAAAAAATAAAAAAAAATAAAATAAAATAAAAGAGAGACAGAGAGCATGCACGTGTGAGGGGGAGAGGGGCAGAGGGAGAGGGAGACAGAGAAATTTAAGCACACTCCACACTCCGCGCAGAAACCAACTCAGGGCTTGATCTCATGACCATGAGATCATGACCGGAGCCCAAATCAAGAGTCAGATGCTTAACCTATGGAACCACCCAGGTGCCCACCCTCCCTTTTTTTCTTAACTTAAAATTCCTTTATATGACAACAGAGTTCATCGTTACAAATCAGGATATTGATTTATACAGACTAAGACAATCCGCAAAGACTAATAATCGTATTAAACACTTACTTATAGCACTAATTATGTGCTAGGCATTAATCTAAGCACTTTAACAATACTGACTCATTGGCTCATTTAACCCTGATAACAATCCTGTGGTGGATGTCCTATTTTTATCTCCAGATGAGGAAACTGAGGTGCAAAACACTAGTAAGTAAGTGGCTGCTGTGAGTCAAAACAGGCATTCGACTCCAGAGCTAGACCATGAGCACCTGAGGCAGGGACCAAGATTTTTATCTCTGAATTCTTGCACAGGGAGTAGCACTGATTCATAATATAAATTAGTCAGCAACCATTTATTGAGCAATAGATTACAACAGAATTTTGAGGCATTTTTTTTTACCATTTAGCAGTTCTACACACAAAAAAAGATCTTGCTATCTGCTGCCTCTGTTATTTTAAAAATCTATTATTATTATTTTTTTTTAGTAATTTCTACACCCAACACGCGGCTCTAACTCATAACCCTGAGATCAAGAGTCACATGCCCCGCTTACTGAGCCAGCCAGGCACCCCCCTCTACTATTTTTTCTTAAATGTGGTAAGGAGAAACTTTGTTGGAAATATTATTGAAGGGGGTGGGGATGTGGGGGAGAGGGGTATTGCAACAATAGGGAAAATGCTGTAACCCTAAGATCCCAGAGTACTTCCCCCTATTAACCTTCTAAAATATGATTAAGTAGTTCTCCTACTTCCCCAGTGTTTGGAGCTCGTGGTCACTGCCAAAGACTCTAACCCACCCTGACAGTTGGTTATCTCATACCCAGGACCAGTGGGGAAAGGAATGAATAAGACACAAGAAAGGCCTGTCTACAGACCAACCACGAGTTCTAGAACCTGGTCTAAAACTGTACGTGGGGGAGGGAGACAGACAAAGGCCTTAAAAGTCATCAAAGAGAATCAAGGGACAACCTTAAAAGGGTTGGGGATAGGGAATAGCTCTTCATGGCTCAATAACCACCTTCTGCCAGCTCAGGAGGAAGCATCTGCATTTCTAAACTAATAGGCTGAGAGTGGCCCTAATCCATAAAGTCACTCTCTACTGAGGTGTCATAGTCATGTGCCAAATATCAGCAGCATTCAGACAAATTTAACCAAAACCTGCACTCCCCACCCAGCACACAGAGGAGGCTCATGGGAAGAGATGTGGACTCAGGCCACAGTGGAGCCACTCCATATTTCTGGTTGGTATGGCAGGGATGTGGTCAGGACTCACCTGTAGGTATATGGCCCCACTTCTTCTAACCGGGGAGTCTCCCCTCTGAGGATCTCCTCTGGATTGGTGACATTGAAGAAATAGAACTGGGCATACACAGGCAGAGGGGGCTTCTTCCAGGAATCAAAGGTCTCAGAACCATTCCTTAATACAATATTCTGGGGAAGAAAACCAAAAGGAGATTGTGTGAGGCAGTTGGCTTTGAACATAGAGGCAGAGAGAGGGTCACTCCCTGCTCTGACCTCCTGGCTCACTTATTTTCATAGGCATTCAACTGTAGTCCCTCAGAAGGAGGGCCATGTCTTAGGTCAATATGAAGCCCACAGCCCTATGAAGCCATTAAAGGTCTTCAACAAATATTTGGGGCAAAGGAAAGGTGGTAGCCATAGCTCATAGGTAGAAATGGTGTTAGCAAAACCAAGGTCACAGGTTGAGTACCCAAAAGTCCTACTGACTTTATTATGAAGATTCCACTGACTATACGCTGCTGTGGAAGGTAGCTTGCCCATATGGCACAACAAGGCAATAGGACCAAGAAGGCTGGATTTGGTTCTTCCAGGTGATGTAGAACCGTACCCATCCTTACCAGCTCCACCAGTAGGGGCTTTATGTGAATTTTCTCATTCAATCCCTAGCAAACCCCTGTTTTAAAGATTAGGAAGCTGAGCTTTACTGATGTTAACTGCTTAGAGTTTCTTATCTACAATCCTTCCTGCGTTTCCCACCCTTACCATGTGTTATGGGCCCCCTCCCAAATTCATATATTGAAATCCTAACGCCTAGTATCTCAGAATGTGACTGCATTTGGAAATAGAGTCTTTACAGAGAAATTTCAGGTTAAATGGGGTCATGAGGGTGGGCTGTAATCAATATAACTGATGTCCTTATAAGAAGAAGAGATTAGGACTAAATACAAAGGAGAGACCATGTGGAGATACAGGAAGAAGACAACACCTACAAGTCCAGGAGAGAGGCCTCCAAAGAATCAACCTTACTGATGCCTTCATCTCAGACTTCTAGCACCCAGAACTGGGAGACAATGAACTTGTGCTGTTCAAGTCACCCAGTCTGTGGTATCTGTTACAGAAACCCTAGCAACCTAATAAACCTTGGCTCCCTATGGGAGGAGTAGTCTTCTCCACCCTATTGACTTCAGGCTTGGCCAAGTGACTTGATTTGACCAATGAAATGTGGGTGGGATGGGAATACCCAAATTTTGAGCTAAGGCCTTAAAAAGCATGGCAAGTTTCCACGAACCACCCTTTGTCAAGAGAAAAGCATGCTTCAGGTAGTTGTTGATCCTTCACCTAAAATGGTGATGTGTTGACCAGACATGAAACCTGGAGTCCAGCCCAGTTCAGCTGGGCCAGCCAACCTCAAACTACAGCCATGGGGCACACCAAGAGTGTGAAATAAATGTCACTGTTACAAGACACTGAGATTTGAAAACTGTCTGTTATGGAGCACTGCAACAGAAGCCTGATTAATACAGCGGCCAAGGTTAAGAGACAGAAACCTACTGTCAGTAGGTTGAGGTCCTAACAGTCCTCAATTTGTTAATGGAGGAAAATCAGCATTTTTTACAGTAAAAATTATTGAAGTACACAAGAAAGATAAAGGGACAGACTGAGAATAAACAACCTGAAATATGAACAGCCATTAACTCTCGAATGTTGGGAATCTGGATCACTGTTATTTTTCTCCTTGATGAATTTTGGTATTTTCCAAATTTTTTATAATCACTAAGAAATTGATATTGAAAACAATTTTTAAAGAAGATCAAAAGAGGAAAACGAGATCAAATGACACAGACAATGCAAGGCCAGCAGTGAAACAATAAGACTAGACTGCAAGAGAAGCATTCTCTGAGGTCACCTCTGGCAGTGAGGCTTTGAGTGACAACAGACAAAGAGACTGGCTTCAAAACATGTTAGATACCACATGCTAAAATGTACTGTGACACAGCACACAAAAGAATGTCAATTTTAGTTTTTTATTTTATTTTTAAAATTTTTATTATTTAAAAGAAAAAATTTAATGTTCATTTATTTTTGAGAGAGACAGAGACAGAGCATGAGCGGGGGAGGGGCAGAGAGAGAGGGAGACACAGAATCGGAAGCAGGCTCCAGGCTCCGAGCTGTCAGCACAGAGCCTGATGCGGAGCTGAACCCACAAACCGCGAGATCATGACCTGAGCCGAAGTCTAATGCTTAACCGACTGAGCCACCCAGGCACCCCCAGAATGACAAATTTTATTAGTCCAGGCCACAATTTAATAGAAGGAATGTTGCAAGGAAACTTACTTATATTGCTCTATTATAAATAGAAAATATCTTGTGGCGCTTGGGTGGCTCAGTCGGTTCACTGTCCAATTCTTGGTATCGGCTCAGGTCATGATCTCATGGTGTGTGAGTTGGAGCCCTGCATTGGGCTCTACACGGACAGTGCA